GCAAGTACTAGTGCAAGTCACATGCTTGGATTATTGTAGCGGGAAGAAGCAGTTGTGAATGTTTCTAGAGCTCTTCAGAAAGTTTTCAAGGAGTTGTAGAAGAATGAAACATAATTTTTAGCAATAAGAATGAAAGAGAGGTAAAAACAGGGGGAACTATTTGGTCAATTCTCGAGACGTCAAAAATTGCAGCATATATCTTTGTGTATCAATTTGAGTTTTATGTGAAGAAAATTAAAAATTAAGCCAAGTCCAAAGAATATCTTTTTTCAACCTGTATAATAAAAAAGTTATTTTAAGCGAGCTTCATGTTCCTTTAAAAGTTCGCGTTCACTACAAGTTTTCAAATCCTAGTTATGCTTATCTCAAGAATTTTGACAGTTGAGAAGCGCAGTGTCCGGATTTATATGCGTTCAGCTTTTTTCTACATGTGCATGCGATGCGGTGACTTCATATGCATTCATTCGTACGACCCGAATCAGATACCGGGATATTGCGGAATAGCCGTTGAATTCGTCTCAAGGGGACAGTGTAACTATTCGGGGATTGGAGGTGTATTCAAATTATTTAAGAACATTCTTGGTGATTTATTCAATGCGCCTGCTCTTGCTACTTGTCTCCTTGAAATCTTAACCTCCTTCATGCGTGATGCTTTTCTTGTGTATTTCAAGATTTACAACTTCTTCTTAATCGGTGATGGTTTGACGTTTCCATATGAGTAAAAGATGAATAAGTTCCTCTTAGCGACTGTGTATCTAACGTTATACAGTTCTGCTGGTTTGGAAAGAAATCATACTTGAAAAAGCGCAGCAAGCTAATGAATGTAAACTTTTACAACGTTAGAATTTAAAAAAAAAACACAGAAATGACAGATCTACATTTTTTTTCTACACTAAAAACATCTCTCCGTTGTGAGCAATTGAAGGATTTTGTGAGTAATGTTTAGTTGTTCTCAATTTCTTTCCGTGCAGGAACCCGCTTAAGCCTGAATAAGCAGATTGTGCGCATGGTGCAATTGCACCGTAAACGTCTAGCACGGGGACGCATGCACCGACATACCATACGTAGTAGCTTTCACTCATTTTGGATAAATGATTATCATGAGTTACATTTTACTATCCTGCATAGCAATAAACTAATCCTTCTCATGTTAAAAACAAAACAACTGAATTCCAGCAAATATAAGGCTTTAGGCAATTAACTCGCTCTGAAGCGCTAAAGATGCAAGGTATGCGAGTTGTAACATAATTGCGGCCGATTAGTTAGGATACTTTAAGGTAATATAAGTTTAATAGTACTTATTTCCTAGTAGTTG